TCCAGGTTTATTGTATTAGCTACTGTTGGCTTCTATAATACTTGTGTTATCATATAGTTTAAAAAGTTGCATGCATGTCAGTGGCTTTTGTGCAATTTTCTGATGCTAATTTATATTGATTACTTCCAAATTCTGTTCATTGAGGTGCATCTTCTCCAAACTTTGATCCAACATTTTGCTGTTGTCAGAAATTTATTATTCAAGAATCAGTAGAACATGCACATGCACCAGAAGAAGAAGCACATGCTATCTTTAAGTTAGTTTTATCTTGGTGTTGGAGTGTAATGATATCTAATTTACTTATTTTTTTTGAAATAAAAATGTGATGTATATATTAATAAGATACCAAAAAAGGAGATACCACCCATATACAAAAGATTTACAATTGTGTTAATGTATCAATAACATTCTTAAAATCTACATCATTAATAATGTCGTAATCTAACAAATAGACCCAAAATAGTGAATCCATCCATCTTTTAATCTATTAATGCTATTCTCATCAAAAGTTCTACCATTTCTCTCTTCCAAATGACCCAAAAGACCATAGACCATGCACCATAAGCTGTAGGTGGTCAGACACCACAATAAAAGATGATTACATATTTCCTCATCCTTCAGGCAGCAGTAACAGCTATTCACCAACACCCTTCCTATAATTCTCAACTTGTCAATACTTAATGTTTTCTCCCAGCCATTCACCAATCTCCAATTTACTTATCCTCTTATCTTCTAGTTTCTGACATTTCCTCTTTGAGGTTTTTAGATCACCATCACCATCACCAAATTTGGTTTCAAAGCCGGCATCCAGTGCACTGCGAAATAACAGTCAGGGAAGGATAACCAAAAAGTAAGTTTGTTTTTTTTTTTTTTCTGGAAATTCAAATTTCTGCTTGGCAATGGAGTATCAAAGTCTGCATGGTTGGTCTGATCAGAATTCTAATTTTGTCCATTTTTGATGTCCTTTTAAAAGGGATCTGCGGTTGCATAAACGAGTTTTGGAGACAGATATTTTACCAGATGGAACTGAAGTAGGATATTTTGTCCGTGGACAGGTTGTTGAAATTAAAATGTCTAAGCTGAAGTCTTTTCTTTTTTTTTTTTTGGCTTATAGTTGTATTTTCTTTTTTCCTGAGCAATTATATTTGTCACAGAAAATGCTGGTAGGCTATAAAAAGGGGCCTGCAATACTTTGCACCTGCTGCAACTCGGAGGTAATTTTCTTCCAGAAGTTGTGTTCTTGTATTCTTTGTCAGACACCTCATTTTCTATGCATAATGAGCAGGTCAGTCCTTCACAGTTTGAAGCTCATGCTGGTTGGGCAACTCGGCGTAAGCCGTAAGTATACATGCAAACTTGAGTAATTTTTGTGAAATTATGTGGTCTATGGTGG